CCAGTATGGTAAAGTATAGCTAACTACAGCTAACTGAATAGACTTTATTGTAGAGACATTTTTATCCCTCAGCTTTTTATAAAGTTTTGACTTTAGCATGAAGAATGTCTCTGACTGGTCTGGGATCAGTTATATCTCTGATTGAGTTCATCCTCACGTGTTTGGAGAGGTGAGGACTGATAAAACGAACATGATTCAGACCACACACTGATGCGGTAAACATTAAGGACTTTATACTCGTGTTAACATTAGCCTTGTGTAGCCAAGCTTTTGACTGTCAGTCTCTTGTGGTGTTGTTGAGGTTCAAGTGAATTGCAACTAATTGCCATTTTGCATGCATTATGAATAAGACTAACCTCTTTATAGTTGTTAAATCTCTCCGCTTGCTGCTCTGTATGAGAGTTGCATCTCTTTTTATTGAGTGTGTGTGATGGATGTATTTTTGCATTTGTTGTTTCAGGCTATGGACGTGATCTTGATGATCTTGCGGATCTTCCTCTTCTTTTTTCTCATGTTTTTAATCTCGAACCGTCAATGTTCCCATGCAGGAATGAGTTTGAGCAGTTTTGTTCGCTGATGCTGTCGTCTGACAGGCCTGCAGGGTGATGAACTGAAGCATCTGGGTTCGAGTTTGAGACGTTCAGTGTGAAGTCTTACCCATGACCTTTGACCTTTGAGGGTTTCAGCTTCACACTTTGGCCTTCTAATTCATATATTCTTTGTCACCCTGGAGAGTCCTGTGCATTGTTCCTCTTTTAAACCTTCAGCATATATTATAACTGTAACGTACGGCGTATCTGATTGGCTGATGCGTCTTTGAGCTCAAGTTTTGACTTTACATTTTTTCTTTACTTTGCAAGACTGTTGAATGAAAGCAGTAGAAGATCTGAGATAATGTGTGTGATCACAGTAACAGTTTTGGAGTGTGTGTGTGTGATGGGTAGGTTTAGGGGTCGGGTTAGTGTGTGTGTGTGTGATGGGCAGGTTTAGGGGTCGGGTTAGTGTGTGTGTGTGTGATGGGCAGGTTTAGAGGTCGGGTTAGTGTGTGTGTGTGTGAGATGGGTAGGTTTAGGGGTTGGGTTAGTGTGTGTGGTTAGGGTTAGAAAAAAAAATCCTTTATTTTGGGAATGGATTCTGGGAAATCTCCCTTATTTTTAATGTTCAATGTTGACAGCTATGGTGTGTGTGTGTGTGTGTGTGTGTGTGTGTGTGTGTGATGGGTAGGTTTAGGGGTTGGGTTAGTGTGTGTGTATGTGTGTGTGTGTGTGTGTGTGTGTGTGTGTGTGTGTGTGTGTGTGTGTGTGTGTGAGAGTGATGGGTAGGTTTAGGGGTCGGGTTAGTGTGTGTGTGTGTGATGGGCAGGTTTAGGGGTCGGGTTAGTGTGTGTGTGTGTGATGGATAGGTTTAGGGGTCGGGTTAGTGTGTGTGTGTGTGTGTGGTTAGGGTTAGAAAAAAAAATCCCTTATTTTGGGAATGGATTCTGGGAAATCTCCCTTATTTTCAATGTTCAATGTTGACAGCTATGGTGTGTGTGTGTGTGTGTGTGTGTGATGGGTAGGTTTAGGGGTCGGGTTAGTGTGTGTGTGTGTGTGTGATGGGTAAGGTTAGTGTAAGGGGTCAGAATATTCAGTTTGTATAGTATAAAAACCATTACGTCTAAGTCCTCACAAAGATAGCGAAGAGTGTGTGTGTTCGTGTTCTCACATGCTGCACGTGGATGTTTGTGTTCAGCAGTTGTGCAGCCCATGAAAGTCATCTCTGCTATGAGGTTAAATGCGAAGTGGGTCAATATTTTTGTTTTAAAAAACGCTCTAATTTATCAATATTAAATGTAATATTCAGTAACAGTTATGTTTGACAAAACTGACAAAAAAATCATGTTAGCCAAGTTACGGATCATTATTACTAGTGGTCAAATGTAAATTATTACTTATAAATATATATTTTTTTTTAAAAGATGCTACTAGTGATTTTTACATTGTATATTATTATATTTTTCATTATAATATTAAAATATTTATTATATGTGTGTGTATATATATATATATATATATATATATATATATATATGGATGTATATTGTATGTGTGTGTATAGACAAAACTTAGTGTGTATATATATATAAATAAATATATAAATATAAAAATATGAAATTAATTATATATCTAAAATATAAAATCCACTCCATTGATGCTGCTAGTGTTTTTTACATGATTGTATATTATATTGGTCATTATAATATTATAATTTAAGTTTTCCACACACATACATTTTATAGAAATATATCTCAATCATGTAAAAAACACTAGCAGCATCAAATAGAATGGAAAAAAATGCTTAAAATATAGAAATAAACATGCATATATATAAATATATTTTGTATGTAAATAAATAAAATATGGAAATATATAAAAAATTGTTTTCACATATATATATATATATATATATATATATATATATATATATATATATATATATATATATATATATATATATATATATATAGGAAAGTTATTCTTCCATTCATTTTAATACTGCAACTGTTTCACATCATAAAGCCAAAGAAACATCTGTCCTTAATAGTTTTATCTTTGATTATTAATCCGCTGATGCCAGAATGTTCAAAATTACAGTGTATTATTCATGTCAGTTTGTTTTATGTATTGAATTTTGCTGCATCATTACCTAATATCACTGTATCAGGTGAAATGTCTCTGTGTGTGTTCGTTCAATACTTCAACAGAGAAACCAGGCATGTAAACACCAACGCTTCTGTCTGTGCATTTTATTTATTCCTCGCACTAAAATGGAGAGCAAAGTGAGTTGTGTGACTGGAAGAGGGATGCGGCTGGATTGCATTGATAAACAATTGTGATCAATTTGTTTCCAGAGTGTTCTGTCCCAATTTAACCCGTATGTAGAGAATCAATGATCAGAATCACTGAAAGTACAATGCTAGCCAAGTTAAAGCTAAATAACCATCATGAAAAGTGTGTAATCATCATCTTTTATTACAGAACAAGGCTTTGAGCAATAAAAGTGTAAGACCTGTGCTTTCTAAACTGAATAAATGAGCAGTTATTGTGTGTTTGGTCTCTGGCTGTGCCTGTAATTTGCCTTTTTTTTATGCTCTGCAGTTTCTTTTGTTAGGGCAGTTTGAGTAAAGACTAAATAATGCGGCTAATTAATCTCCCGTCGCCTGCATAAATTACTCACCCTGATCCCATTGTTAAAAGTGCAGAATTAAGCAGTTTAATTCATTTTTGAAAACGACTTCAGCTTTAGTTTTCCCAGTGAGATGAGTTGGAGCGTTTTATAATAAGTGAGTCCGGCAGTGTTTTTTTCTTATGCATAATTGATCTTATATACGAGGCAGATCAGCGTGTAACTTAATATGATTGTTTAATCATCATTAGAGTTTCCCCAGAATGCAAACGTGTGCCGAATGAATGTTAGATCTGTATACCTCAAGTGTACAAAAGTACAGATAATAAAATGGTACTCCAGTACTATTATTATAAATTACTAATGCTAATCCCAGTATTATCATGAATATTATTATTGTTACTACTATTATTAGTATTGTTATTATTATTAGCGTGTAGAGTTGTTCACAACTCTATTACTATGATTGTCTTAAATTGCCTCTATCTATATCTATATCATTAAGTATCTCATTACTTACCATTTTATTACTTATATCTATATATCTATATTTAGCTGTTTTCCATCTCTTTGTTTTTGTTTTTCACTCTTCTGTATGTGTGTCATTGATTTCTTACCTTGTATAAGTTACTGTTTTTGCAATAAAAAATTAAAAAATAAATAAAGTATAAAAGATTTTGACTCAAATATGATCGGTTACAGTCCCTCAGGGCTCACTGGTGATTTTGCCAAGTAAGACATGTTCCTGGATCAACATATTTTTTAACATTCCTGTCCCAAAATGTAGTCCTTACCCAATCCCTACCCCTAAACCTAACCCTACCCATAACTTTTCCCTGAAATCAGAGGGTAATGAAAGGTGAATAGCACTGATGTTTAAGTACTTCACCCTGGTTCTAAGCCTAAACTTGACATAAACTGTAAACTTGTCCCTCAAATCTGATTGGTTGATTGGAAAGTTGTTCCAGGATCAACAAAGATGTTGATCCAGGAACATGTGGTACTTGGTGAAATCACGTTCACCGTCCATTAGACTTGTAGTCAAGACCGCCTAAACCGAGACCAAGACAGACCAAGTCGAGACCGGAGGGAAAAAAACAGACTAGTGATGAAGCTAAGTAATAACTTGTAAGATTTTGTTTTGCATTGCCTGCCTATCTCTGCTGATTTCGAAGTCTCCAAATGAATCCATTTTGCAACTTTTAAATACATAATTATATTTTTAAAAACGAAATTATAGGCTTAAGTGCAGGATCCGAAAGTTGGTTGTTTTGTCGCTATGGTTACACACACACACACACACCGTTGGCGGTGCGCTCAAAGTCATCTGTCAGTTGTGCAGTTACCCAAAATCTCCTGAATGAAGTTAAAACCCATCATGTCACTGATATGTGTTTTACTAAATATTAATACATCAAAAACTGTACATGATATGTGTTTTTTAAATCAAGTGATCAAAGTGCTCGTTGCCGCTGCGATCAGTGGCGCGGATACGGTGTTTTCTCGTGTGGCTCGCGCACACCGCACTGTCTTCACTCGGACGCGCGCTTCAATCCGATGCGGATATCGCCGTGGATATTGTAGTATTGTATTGCTAAATCCCCCGACCACTGTGTCGGTCTGAGACAGCGAGACCTAGACAAGACCGAGAGGTCCGAGACCAAGACAAGACCGAGAGGTCCGAGACCAAGACCAAAGATCGTCAAGGCCGTGACAAGACCGAGACCACGTAAAAGTGGTCTCGAGACCGGTCTCGAGACATACATCACTACCGTCCATCAGGTGTTCACTTGACCGTTGGTTATTCATGGCTCTGGTTTGTGTCTGTCGGGCAGATCAAGAGCTGTAAACGTGAGCCGGAGATCCAGGCGCTGACGCTGAAGAGTTTGCTGTATCTGGAGCGCTACATGTACCTGATCCTCTTCAACACGTACCTGCACCTGGAGAAGAGAGACTCGTGGCAGCGCTCCTTCAGCCAGTGGATGCTACAGGTGAGATCAGACCAATCATCTGTTAATAATCTGCATTGAAATCCCGCCACAAATGCTTTCACAAATGTGTAAATGATGAATAGTTCTCTCCTTTATTTCATGTTGCTGCTTAAGTTGACGTTGCAAAAGGCTGTTGATAAATAAGTCTACAGTGCATTTGCACCATCATTTCTGCTGAGTTCATCATGACACTTCTGTTTTGCCAATCGTACTGAACTATAGTTGATATGATTTTTTCTGTGATGTGCAATTAAGCCACATTAATATTTCATGTTGCAGCAGTTAGTTTATTATTAGGGGCCGAGCACCTATTGTTTTCATCCGTCGTCTTCTGCTGCTTTTTAGTCTATGGCAGACCATAGAAGCATTTGGTAAAAAGTTGTGAAATTTGGCACACTGGTAGAGGACAGTCCCAGCATTCACCTCTGCAAATTTGGAGTCTCTCACTCAATCCCTCTAGCGCCACCAACTGTCCAAATTTTGCACATACGGTTTTTAAACTTTTGAACCGTAAAGGCTAAAAACAAAAAACTTTTTTGAACTCCTCCTAAACCGTTGCTCCAATTTTCACAAATTTAACCAGATTATCTTCAGACCATGCTGACAAAAAAACAAACATGGAATTCAAGTTTAGTCAAACCATTCTCAAATAACCCGTGAACGAATTTAGCGAAGAGCACACCAAAATGAACGTGAGGCTGTATCTCCAGAATGCTTTAGCGTGTTCTGACCAAACTTGGTGTTTGTTATGACAACAATGACTTGAGAGGATCTGCACAGTTTCAGCACAGCGCCACCCAGTGGTCAGGAGATATAAAAAAGGATATATTTTTGCTTATTACTTTGGCCGAAAATAACAAAACTGGCCTCTTTAGTTTCGATGCAGCGTGAAGAGTTAAACGATACCCAATTTTCCAATGTCAGCCATTTTGAATTTTGTCGTAAATGCTATACAAACCCATTGGCGTATCGTTACGAAACTCTGTATATGCAATCGGCACCATTCCCCGAAGGTACTCAAAGTTTAGAGACGGCGCCATCTTGTGGTGAAAAATCCATGAAAAAAAAAAAAAGCTTTTAATTAATTTTGTCCATTGTAATGAAACTGATCTTAATAGATTCCTTGGGTCATGCTGAGAACATAGAAACCAATTTTCCCATAATCGGCCGAACTTCCTGTCCGACGTTTTGATTTTCATTAAAAACCTACTTTTTCGAACGCCTCCTAGACCGTTTGTCCTATTTGCACCAAATTAGAGTCAGATCATCTTCAGACCAGGCAAAAAGTTGCGGATTTTGTGTCGATAAACGAAACTAATTTGATGGCATAATGTCAAACTGCATCTGAGGCTGTAAGGGAAATCCAACACAGACCACATCGGATTTATTTGGTGTCAGCGCGACCTATTGGTCAAAAGACTAAGCAATTATGTCACATTACGAGTGATTGTATTAATGGACTTTCCACCATTTTACTTAAAATAGTCTCCAAATGTCTTGACTAATTTTAGCAGTTGGTCTGATGCTCGCTTGATTATTAGCTCCCTATCAGTTTTTTATCTTATTATATTTTACTTTATTCATGAATTGTCGGTCCTTGCTGTTTCAGAACTAGTGAGTTTTTTTTTTTTAACAACATCCCTTATTTAAACCTCAAATACAGAGCAAATGCTACTCCAAATGTGCAATATATGTATATGTTATCACCCATCCAAGTGTTGATCTTACTGCAACTTCAAACTTGATTTTGAAAGTCCATCACAAACCTCAGTGAAGTTTAACTGTTACCTCAGAAAACTTGTTTTCATGTGTTGTGTGCATTTGTCCAGCTGTTTGAGAAGCTCTTCTTGATTGTTTTGTGGTGAATTCTGTTCTCCCGTGTGAATCTGTGCTTGTCGAGCCGTAGCCATCACTCCATTTGGACGCGTCCCCTGGAATTTACAAGCTTATTCTAGCATCATCGAGGCCGCTGATTCACACGTCGGGTTTCGCGAGGTCTCTGTGTGTGTGTGTGTGTGTGTGTGTGTGTGTGTGTTGAGGCCAGCTGCGGCTCACGGTAAAGTCTGGAATTTACTGCCATTCCAAACAAATGAGTGTTTCCCCCCTGCGCAGAACTGTGATTTTCCCTGATGCCTTTATATACTCCTACAGTCCTGCAGTTCAGCGACGGATGAAGAATTGAAAGAGCCCAGTTGTTCATTTGTTTTGTTGTGTTTTCCCAGTGTGATTTGGTTGAGAAGAACCTTCAGATTTGATGCACTGAGACGCATCTTTAGCAGCAGAGAAACATGCGCAGTTGGACTAAACTAATCTAGAACAATCTCTGATTAACTCATCAGTCAACATCACTGTCATGACACACAAGTGAACATCCGGCCTGATTTCTAGCCTAACTCCGTCTAATCGATAATCACAGTCTGGATTCTGGCTCTGACCCCGTTGATGCGAGTATAACCGAGAGTCCAGCGCGTATGAGAGGAATGTTCTCGATTAAACACAACATCCACATGCTGTCAATTAACACAGGAAATCTAATATGTAAAAAAGAAAAAATACAAATAAAGAAAACCCTTGTTATACTGTGTAAGTCAGAAAGTATACAATAGCATTTTGAAATATGTAAAATATTTTGTACAAATGATTTTCTTTCAAACAATAAAAAAAACTTCTGTTACTTGAAATAAAATCATTTTTAACTGAAACTAAAATATCAAACTTTTTTAATGTAACTCCAACTTATTAAATATTATATATTATTAATAATATGTATATATTATTGTTGTATATATTATATTATTATTATTATTGGTATTATTATAGAGCTCCAACTAATTTGCGAAGGCAACATTTCTCGTTTTTCTTTAGTTTAAATTGATGTACTAAAATAACTAAAATGAAAATTAATAGACATATTTAAAAGAAAAACTAAAAAAAAAACAAATAAAATGACACAACAAAATTATTACAACTTTAACTAAAATTATAGCAGGATATTATTAATAAAAACCTATATTAATGGTTAAATAAAACCGACAGCTACAAATGTTGTTCGTTGAGCTCAATTTGGGATGGACAATATATCAAAAATGTTCTATATTAAAAGCAATACCATATCTTATTTAATGACCTCATGAAGTTATTATTTGTAATGTTGTTTAAATCACATCTATGGACTGATTTGATTCTATTCTAGTCGATATTACCATTTTAAGTAAGTGTGGACTGGATCTTCTCAGTCTCTCAGTGCTTCAGATAAGAGCCAATGTGCAGCGGAGCGATAAGACCTAATAAAGTCTCATTCCAGTGAGGACGGCTGACCGATAACAAGAGTCGAGAGTCGCTCAGTGTCGTCATGTCATTCCCTCAAGATAAACCGCTCATGTTGAATTATTGATCATTTCTAAGTTGATTTGGATGGATAATTCAGTGTTAAGAAATTTTGTTTCTTGACATTTTTGAGACCTTCTGCACTTTTTGGTTCTTAAACCATATTACGCCCTTTTCCAAAGTCTTGATGATGTTTTCAGGCTCTACTAGAACAGGTTTTCCTGCTTGAATGTTGATTATTCTCCTCATATTCTCCATTGTTGCGGCTCCTCTCTTCCCAGTCTGTCAGTAACGCTCTGTTTACTTCCTGTCTCTATGAAGCCCCTCCTTCTGAAAGCACACTCTGCTCTGATTGGTCGGCTGGAGCAGTGTGCTCTGATTGGTCGAGCGCTTTGAGTGTGTTTGGGAAATGTCCCGCCCCTTCCCATAACCACCAGTTTAACACACTACTGACTAACTCAACCAGGCCCCGCCCCTTTATTCTGCGTATGAATTATTATAATGAGGAATATTGTGACGTGTTCGTGACTCAAAACTACAATGGAGGCGTTTCAGGAGTTCAGAAACACTGACACTGATATAGAGAAGAACTCCCGCTGGAGGGACTTTGAAACATTTTACACACTAAAGAAAGATGAACAGGTGATCTTTTAAATGTTTTTCAAGAGCATATAGAGGTAAATCAATGTAGTGATGATGTATTTTGCTGTCATCATCAACAAACACACGGTTCTATTTTGCCGTATTGAATGTTGCGATTAAAATGAATAATGTCTGAGTACAAGGATATGTGATATTAACGGAGTCATAATATTACAGCTTCAGATATAAAAGCATCAGTTTTATAGTCGTGCATGTGTCCTTATTTTCATCCTTTCGATTATTTGTCCTCATTTTGTTTTCACTCCTACCAGCCACTTTGGCAAAATGTATTTGTAAAGTATACATTTTTCAATCTTTTAAAAAGGCATCTGAATTAATAAAGTACATGCAATGTATAATAGAGTTGTCAAAAATATCGATTTTCAATACATACCGATACCGAAATATCTAAAACGCTTCCAATACTCATTTTTCTCAGAATAGATAGCAGTGTCTCTTTCTCTCTCTCTCAGCGAGAGACACACAAACCCGCCTCCCATCACTCACTCGTTTCATTTTTTTTATATAGTTATATTTATTATTTTTAATATAATTATATTTTATATTCATTTAATATGAATAGTTAATATTAAAATTATATTTTAAGATAAATATTTTATTAAGTTAAAGACAGTGGGGCAATACGGTGGTCTTAAAACTTTCAGTTGTGTACTTAATGTTTTTTATGTAGAAAATACAAAAGCATTACAGTACATATTACGGTTAATAGCAAAATATATCTATTTGTTTTTATAAACTTTGAAAAACTATTCATATTAATAATTCATATTAAAGTGATATTTTAATATTCATATTTATAGGAAAAAAATCATTATGGCAATACGTTTTTTTTTTTTTTTACTTTCAAACAAGCAGTGAATTATCTATTTTGTAATTTGCACCCGCTCTCAGCACTAAATTGTTATTTTTTGCTGCTTATTGCGCATAAACAGTCAAACAGACACACAATAATGTCAAAATGCCGGCTTTGGCGAGTATTCTCATAAACACAGTCAGTTATGGTTTAAGTGTATGTAAACAGTTGAGAAAGAAAACGCATGTGTAACAGT